GGACAATCAGAGGTGAGCAAATGGTGTGTGAGCAATTGGAAGATAGAGGCAGTAGATTTTCCAAGATCTATTGAAAAGATCTCTTTTTGAACATTCAAGTACTCATGGTTCTAAATATAGAATGCATGACCTTGTGAAAACTATGGCCCGATGGATTCATGGAGAAACAGATTTCCGATTAGAAGATGTGTTGGGTCAATGAGCAACCAGAATGTGCTAACAAAAATACATTTGAATCATCTTCATGATGTTGACAACTTACGAACATTTATGCAGGACTCCTATGTAATGATGACAGTCATCACATCACTGATGCGCTTCTTTTTATTTGCTACCAAAGTTTAAAAGATTAAGGACACTATCTTTGGAGAAACATAATATTATGAAGTTACCCAGTTCCGTTGAAGGTTTGAGATATCTAAGATATGTTAACCTCTCCAGCACCATGACAGAAAGTTACCTGATTCAATATGTTCATATTGAGTTTGCAAATTTTGCTATTAAGGGATTGCTCTCATCTGTAAGTTGCCTTCCAATTTGAGGAAATTGATCAATTTATGGCCTCTTGATATTACCACGTGTCCATTTACTCAGAGAAATGCCAACACAGGAATGAATTGGAATGTCTTAGAAATTACCAATTTTATTCTAAGCAAAGGGTTAGGCTCTAATTTGAAGGATTTGGAAAACTTTAAGTTTCTTGTGAGCTTTACATTTCAAGGTTGCACAGTAACTGGTTCACAAGATACAAAGGACTCCATATTAGTTGATAAGAAGGGCCTAAAAGTGTTGGTACTAGAGTGGGGCTCTCAATTGGATGACACACCAGATGGTTGGTGGAAGAAAATGTACTGGCCAATCTACAACCTCACCAAAATTTAGGGAATTTACAATTAGAGGCTACGGTGGCCTAGATTTTCATCTTGGGTGGAGATCCAATGTATTCTAATTTAGTGGTCTTAACATTGGAAAGATGTGAAAAATGTACAGTATTGCCTTCGCTGGATGGTTGGGCTCATTGAACACCTACCATCAAAGAATGAAGGGGATTAGAAGGATAGGTTCTGAGATTTTTGGAAAAGATTGTTCACGCCTTTTAAATCGCGGAGACTCTTTGTTTTGAAGATTTGAAAGAATGGGAGAATGGATCCGTTGAAGAAAATGAGCATGTTGAAATATTCCCTCGCTTGCGTGAGCTATCCTTATGAAATGCCCAAACTCCTGGAAAACTACCTAAACATCTCCTTAGGTCGTTAGAGAAACTTAGAATTCGGAATGTGCACAGTTAGAGGTTTCGTTCCCAAGCCTCTCCCCGTTTTGCAACGCAGAGGTAGATGGATATAAGATGCATTGCGGATGGATGGCAAATCTAACCTGGTAAGGTTGCATTTTCTGGAACGATTTATATTTTAATTTCATGGCAATATACGCTCTTTCTTACTAAATAACATTTTATCTCTTGTCTGTTTGAAATAACTATCCTCAAAAGGAGCGGTATGCTGTCTACCTATTGTGAAGATGACTCCTCGACTTCTGACTAAGGTCGGAGTTCACAAGTTCTTAAGGTAAGGTTTTCATTTTCTGAACTTTTTTTTTAATCTCAATAAATGCTGTTCCTATTGAATTGAATTTTTGGTTTATATGTTAGTTACTGGAACATCTACTTAGAGACTTATTTGATAGATTGACCAATGATTAGTTTGATATAGAAGTTAATTACTAAGTGAAATATCCAGAAATCTGCTTGCAAATCGGAGGGAATGTGACTTATATCACAAGTTATTCCAAAACAAGTTTTGTATTTACACTCAAACTTTTGATTTTAGTGAATAATGTGTTACTCTACTCTAATGAATCACATGCTTTTTTGAGGAACACAACCAGTAAAAGACTCTGTTTCCTTTTTCATTTGTCCATAGCATTCATTATGTGATAGCCCTTTGGCGATTATGCTGCTGTGTTTGTTGCTGGCTTAGGAATGTGTTTGGTTTTTAAATTTTCATGATGAATATTCTATTAGTCTTTTTAGGGGTTGTTTTCATTTTAATTTATCAGTTCTAATATGTTGATTGAACTCTCCGCTGGAAATGCTGACTAAGTTGAATGAATATAATAACTTGTTGTACCAGAAATTTGACAGCTGAATATAATACAAATGGGAGGGCACTTGTGCTAAATCTAACTTGTTTCTCTATCAAGTCTGTTCATCCATCCGCTGAAAGGCGGTTTAGTGAGAGTCAGTAATGTGCCTATCATATGTGCTAATGTGATGTCCCATGAGTGGTTGATTGTCTGTTTATCAATTATAGATTTTTTTTTTTTTTTTATTGGTTCTTATTATTTGGACATGACACTGTACATGTTAGTATTACTTTGTCTTTGTAAAGAGTGTTTTCCCTCTATTTGGCTGAGTTTTAACACTGAGAGACTTGAGAGTTGTGCCATAAGAGATCATCACCTTAAATGTGTGATCAGGCCGGATCCAGTCATTACATTGTGGTCTCTTCAACCATGTGTTGTTTCTAATTTTCTCAGTTCTCTTCGACCTTGAAATTAATGGCAATGATTCATATCTTATATTTTAATCCATCATCTGTAATTTAACTGTCTTATTACTGTTTATCTATGCAGGCCTATCTTATTGGAGACACAAAGCTAGGATATGAACTTCAATTGGAGCAAGGCAACTAGTGATGGCTATTGTCTGTCTGTTTTTCTATTTGATGAATAAATCAACAACACACTTGTGATGAAATATTGTCTATTTTTGTGTTTGTCTTAATAATGTAAAACACTCTGTTGTTCATTTTCATTTCACCTTCACGATTATATATCTGCTTGTTTTTGTTTATGGATAAGAAGTTTTGATGATATTATTTCAGTCTTTTTTAATATTAATTTATTAGATGCTATGTTAATAAGGCAAATTTACTGTTCTGTGATTACTAGTAACTTCACGTTTTCTTTGTTACTATACATTTGCAGCACTAATTTTTTCTGCAAATTATGAATGGTTCATGTATCATTAAACATTTTGTGAGAGTTTGTGCCATAAGAGATCATCACCTTAAATGTGTGATCAGGCCGGATCTAGTCATTACATTGTGGTCCCTTCAACCTTCTGTTGTTTCTAATTTTCTCACTTCTCTTCGACCTTGAAATTAATAGCAACGATTCATATGTTATATTTTAATCCATAATTTGTTATTTAACTATCTTATTATTGTTTGTTTATGCAAGCCTATCTTATTGGAGACGCACAGCTAGGATATGAACTTCAACTGGAATAAGGCAATTAGTGATGGCTAATATCTGTCTGTTTTTCTATTTGATGAATAAGTTAACAGTGCACTTGTGATGGAATATTGTCTGTTTTTGTGTTTGTCCTAATAATGTAAAACACTCTGTTGTTCATTTAATTTTTTTTATCAGATGGTATGTTAATAAGGCAACTTTACTGTTTTGCGATTACTGGTAATTCACATTTTCTTTGTTACTATACATTTGCAGCACTAATTTTTTCTATAAATTATGAATGGTTCATATATCATTAAAATTTTTGTGGAGAAACAGGGGATCCCCTAAGCAGGAAATCTTCCATAATGAAAAACTAGAATCGGTTTTAATGCTTTTTACAGCTTCTAATCTAAAAAACAGTTTTTAAATTTTATATCAGACACATTTTCAAATATTAAAAATATTAAAATAGAGCTAAAAATTTTGAATCGTATTTAAGTTTTCGAAAATTATTTTTGAAACAAAAATCAAATATAAGAAGTTTTTATGAGCCCAGACTTCAACATACACAAATATAATACAAATGGCAGCGGATTAGCACTTTATGTAATGTGCTAGTTTAGATGGTATTTAGATTTCTTAGTGGCAGCTTTTTCCTTCTTTATTATGAATATTGTTGCTCTCCCTCCTCCCGTTCTTCCTATCATACATTTGCAACACTAATCTTTTTCACAAATTATGGATGATTTCCACTTTGGCAATGGACGTTTGTTAGAGATCCCACATCCACTAGGCACACTCAAGCCAAGCTATCTAGTTTATAAAAAGGGGTAATCCTCCCATTCAATAAGATCTTTTGGATAAGGAGTTAGGCCCAAAAACCAACAAGTGGTATCAGAGCCAACCCAGATGAGCTGAGTGATTGACCATTCAAGGCATGACCCACAGTATGAGTTTGACCTCAAGCTATCTAGTTTATAAGAAGGGGAATCCTTCCATTCAAAAAGGTTTTTCGGTGAGCAGTTAGGCCCAAAAACCAATAATGTTTTGTTCATTGTTCATATTATATTATGAAATTGTTGAGAGAGCAAAAGAAACAGAGGAAAGCTGAAAATTGGGGCAAATATCAACTGACTTTATTGAATAAACAATGTTTTCCTTATATACAAGCTTAGTAACTCTAGTTACATTTGAGTTGAGCTGAAGTAAACTAACTATAACCAACTCTGACAACTAACCAATCTGATTAACTAAAACAACTTACAACTTGTTTTGACTAAACTACCCTTATATTTGCAATACCTCCCCTCAAGTTGGAGGGAGGTAAAGATCCAGCACCTCCAACTTGTACAACAGATGATATTGAAGATGCTTGCCAAAGGCTTTAGTCAAAATGTCTCTAGGCTGTCCAGAGGAAGAGATATGGGCAGTGCTGATGAGTCATTTCTTAAGCTGCTCCTTGACTATATGGCAATCAATGTCAATGTGTTTGGTTCTTTCATGGAACATAGGGTTGGAAGCAATGTGGTTGGCTGTTTGATTGCCACAATGTACAGAATAGGAAGCAAACTAGACAGACCAAGTTCATTGAGTAGCTGAACAATCCAAAGAATTTCACAAACCGTTGAGGCCATAGCCCTATACTCAACCTCTGAAGAAGATTTGGAGATAGTAGCTTGGCGTTTGGATTTCCAAGAAATCAATGTAGAACTAAGAAACACACAGAATCCAGTAATGGATTTTCTAGTCATCAAACAAGACCCCTAATCAGAGTCACTATAAGCTGATAAATTCAAGGTGTCAGTAGCAGGGAAAAATAAGCCTAAACCTGGAGCTGATTTCACATACTTTATCACCTTGAGAGCTGCCGTCATATGTGATTGCTTGGGTTGGTGCATGAACTGACTTAAAATGCTAACTGAATAGCTTAGATCAGGCCTGGTCATGCACAAACATAAAAGTTTTCCAACCAATCTCTGATAAACAAAGGGGTCATTAAGCAAAGGATCAGTACCAGAAGGAAATTGACTACCATATGCTACCGAAGTAAGTTTCAAATTGGACTCCATTGGAAGAGCAGAGGGTTTTGAGCCAGCCAAACCAGATTTAGAGATTAATTCAAGTGCATACTTCCTCTGACATAGGCTGATTCCTTTAGAAGATCCAGCCACTTCAAGGCCTAAGAAATATCTCAATACTCCCAAGTCTTTTAGCTTAAATTTGGACTTGAGAAACTCCTTAGTTTGATCAATCATGGCGTGATTATCTCCAGTTATTACAAAGTCATTGACATACACTAATAAGATGACAATATGAGATTGATCTTGTCTACAAAACAATGAATAATCTGACTTGGATTGTTGGAATCCTCCATCCAAAAGGGCTATGGTTAGTTTATAATTCCAGGCTCTAGAGGCTTGTTTCAAACCATATAAAGACTTATGAAGCTTGTATACCAGGTCTTGCCCCCCTTGCTTTGTAAAACTCTGTGGCAATGTCATATAAATCTCTTCTTGCAAATCACCTTACAAGAATGCATTGTCAACATCTAATTGGAAAAGTGGCCAATTATTCATGGAAGCCAAGGCCAAGATGGTCCTAATTGTAACCATTTTCACAACCGAAGAGAAAGTTTCAGCATAATCAATACTGGCCTACTGTGTATATCCCTTAGCAACCAAACGTGCCTTGTATCTTTCCAATGTACCATCAGCCTTGTATTTGAGTTTATAAACCCATTTACAACCAATAGGGACCTTGCCATGAGGCAAAAGTACTAAAGACCAGGTTCGATTTTGCTCTTAAACCTAGATTTGTTTATCCATGGCTATCCACTTCGGGTCCTTGGAAGCTTGGGAAAAGCTTGTGGGTTCAACCAAGGATAGTTTGGATAAAAAAGCCTTATAAGAGGGTGATACATGATTATAAGAAACAAAATCAACAATGAGATATTTGGAAAGATGTGCTGAAGTATTTGGAGGTAATGTAGGACAAATAAAATCATTAGTCCAAATAGGAGGATGAGACTGTTGGCTGGACCTTCTTGGAATAGAAGAAATTGGAGTTTCAACATGATGAGATGGATCTGAATGTGAAGGATCAGACCCTAAACAAGGAGTTGAAGGAGATACAGGGGAAACAATAGGAGTTGGAGGAGTTGATCCTTGATCATCAGGGGAATAAGTGTCTAAAAAAGAGGACTGATCAGACTCTAGAACTAAGAAATCAGATTCAAGAGGAAAAAGAACTTGGGAAGACTTAGGTAAGGCAAAAGGAAAGATGCGTTCATAGAAAACTGCATCTCGGGTGACAAAGATAGTATGAGAGGATAAATTGTAGAGAATATATCCCCTTTTTGTAAGAGAATATCCTAAGAAAACATTAGGAACAACTCTAGGGGATAATTTGTCCTTAGAAGAAAGGATTGATGCATAGGCCAAAGATCCAAAAACTCTTAAATGATCCAATGTGGGAGGTTTTTTAAAAAAATGCTTCAAAGGGAGACAAACCTTTAAGAACAAGTGTTGGCAGTTATTAATAATATAGACTGCAATTTGAACACAATAACCCCAAAAATGAGTGGGAATGTGAGATTGAACTTTCAATGCCCTAGCAACCTCTATAATGTGTCTATGCTTTCTCTCAATAATGCCATTTTGTTGAGGAGAATATGGACAAGAGCTTTGATTTACAATTTCCTTACTACTTAAAAGGTCATGACAATCCTTATTGAAGAATTCTAAACCATTATCACTTCTAATGCGTTTAGGAACCAAGTGGTATTGTGTTTGAACCATTTGAAGGAAGTGTTTAAGAGTGATAAAGGTATCAGATTTGAATTGCATGAGAAACAACCAAGTGACCCTAGAATGATCATCAACGATTGTGAGAAAGTATTAGGCATTCCCATAAGTAGGTGTTTTATATGGCTCCCACACATCCATATGTAACAAATCAAAATTATGCTTAGAATGTGAAGTGCTATGAGGAAAGGGTAACCTGGTTTGTTTAGCTAGAGGACACACGGGACAATGAAATGAGGGTAATGTAGTGTGTTCAATAGACTTAGACAATCTAGGATGAACAAGTGGCAAGGTTGAATAAGACACATGTCCTAACCTTTGATGCCATAATGCAGATTTGTGAGACAAAGATGTAGTCATAAGTGAAACAAGAAAAACAGACCTTTTATTCAATTGTAAATCATGAAGTACAACTTGTGATGAATATAAAACATTACAAGCATATTTATTCAACTTTCCTAAAGACATAAGGGAAGAAAAAAACAATTTTGGATCATAAAAGTAAAGGCCTTGACTATGTTTACCAATCCCCTTAAACTTGCCATTGCAAAGATCCTGAATGAGGCAAAAATCAGGATAGAAAGTAACGAAACAATTGTTAGAAACAACAAGTTTTGAAACAGAAAGTAAATTGTGATGAAAATCCGGGACAGGCATGTAAGACATTTGATAAGTGTAGGTTATCATCTAGAACAACAGATCCTAAATTTCTAACATATGTTTTTGTTCAATTTGGTAAACCTACAAGGTATTTGGAAGAAGGTTCTACGAGAGTGGAATATTTCAACATAGACTGATTAAAAGTCATGTGATCAGTTGCTCCAGTATCAATTATCCAGTTATTTTCATCAAAATAGGATAGCAAAGCCACATAATTACCTGCAAGATTTGCAGCTGAAGATGATACATTCTCCTTTCCCAACAACCGAAGAATTTGATTATACTGTTTAGCAGTCAGAATTGGTCCAATTTCTGCATTGGTGTTTCTAGTATCAGATTTCCCAACATCTAACGACTAAGAGCTCTACACTTGATAAGCCAAAGCTTTTGATTTAAAAGTCTTTCCCTTTGTGAATTGATAGTCAGGTGGATATCCATTCAGCTTATAGCAGGCTTCACGCTCATGTCCAGGGATGTGACAAAACTCACACTCAATATATGATTTTTTTCCCTTATACTTCTGTCCTTGACTTTGCCCTTTACCATTTCCATTATTGTGTGCATAAAGTGTAGTAGACACTTCTGAATTCAAATTCATTCCAGCCAGAATTTTTTTACTCTCATCCTGATTGACAACAGAATAAGCTTGTTTCACTGTCGATAAGGGATTCATAAGCAAGATTTGACTTCGAACCATGGAGTAGGAATCATTAGCCCCATAAAAAATTGTAACAATTTTTGTTGATTCAAATGCTCCAAATAGGCCTTTGCCAAAGCACTATCAATTATAGGTAAGCTCACCAAAGAATCAAGCTCATCCCAAAGTGACTTGAGCTTATTATAGTAAACGGATAATGCAGTGGTTCCTTGGGTTAAATTCACAATTTCCTGATGAAGAGCAAACACTCTAGTCTCGTTCAATTTGTGGTATTGTTATTTCAAATCTTGCCAAACTTGTGCAGCGCTTGTTGAATAGACTATTCCATTAAAGATTTCTTTTGACATCAAATTAAAAATCCAAGCAAGGACCAATTAATTACACCTCTCCCATTGTGGAATCAAGTGAGAGTGTACATATGACTTAGTGCATGTGCCATTAACAAACCCTAGCTTGTTCTTAGCACAGAGAGAGATTGTCATAGCTCTACTCCAGATGTCGTAATTTTCAAAACCAATCAACTGTTTTGAAACCAATACAGATCCTGGTGTGTCTGAACTCTGATGGATGTACATAAATCGGTGAGTTGGAGTCAATTGAGGGAATATTTACCTCTTTTGTCGAATTCGCCATAATATTTCTTAAATTTCAAAACTCAACTCGAATCAACTAAAGACTGTGAAATCTGAAATTCAAGAACGAGAAGAGAAATTGACAAACTTAGAGCTTCTTCGAACTCGTCTAAGATGCAAGAATGGGCTTTAATTGACCTGAGTTTTGATTTGAGAAGTGGAAGTTCGGTGCTCTAATACCATGTTGAGAGAGCAAAAGAAACAGAGGAAAGCTGAAAATTGGGGCAAATATCGACTAACTTTTATTGAATAAACAATGTTTTCTTATATACAAGCTCAGTAACTCTAGTTACATTTGAGCTGAGTTGAAGTAAACTAACGGTAACCAACTCTAACAACTAACCAATCTGTTTAACCAAAACAACTTACAACCTGTTTTGACTAAACTACCCTTATATTTGCAATACTTATAATATGGAGTCCAAGAGTTATGATGCAGATAGATATAAAGGATTCAGCAAGTTAAAAGAATCTCGTTCGACTTTCAATCTCAACACGGTTTGCCAGGATGCCCATCATCCAATACACAGGAGAGGTTTTCTTTTTCTTTTTTTCATTCAGTTCTATAACTCTGTTTGCTTTTAAGTATTTAGATTTTCTTAATTTTCTCAATGCCATAAAATTGTCGATGGTGTTTCATTCCTTGATTTGAGAGAAGATGATAGTTAGTACAGAACAATAGTTTATTATTTAGAATTCAAGGAACCAAAATTGGTGTGTTTTGATGGTGTGTAATTTATGCTTATAGTGATTTTTTTTTTTTCTTTTTGAAAGAATCCCTAGTCCAACATCTCTCTGTCCCTACAACATAACTTTCTCATCATCATCCTCTTCATTAGTTGCTAAAGTTGATGTATGTAAGAACAAACATATATTAATTTCATTTCAATCAGCTCAATTCTCGTGCCATATATATTATCATAGTTAATATGGATACTTTCTTTTTAATGTAATTATCATATAGGCTACCATTCTCTCTCTCTCTCTTTTAACCGGGGGGGGGTCTCCAGACAGATTACTTGCATCTCAACTAATTCCTCGGACCTTAAAATTAATGATCGGGTAAGCTTCCAGTTGTCATCCTTATTAGTAGCTAAGATGAATCGAACTTAGGATCTCTTGAGTAATACATCAAAGAGTTCTAGTTGACCATTGGGCCACCTAACGATAGTTTAGGACTTTAGGCTACGATTATGGTTGGCCTGACTGTATTTTGGGATATTAAATATTTGGAATATGGAGTTTGAGAAATGGAGTAATCATTTGCTTATTTGGGGCTGAATTACTAAATTTTTGTTTGAGGACGTCCACCGTAAGCACAGGGAATAGAAGAATTATTATTCCATTTGATGTTGGGGGGCACTCATATATTTAAAAACACCAATGGGGTGCAGGTGCTTTGCTTTGGGTTATAACCTTAACGATTACAAGCTTTCCTTAACTATTTGAATCACCGTTTATTTATTTATTTTTAAGAATCACTAAAATAATATTTGATATTTAGTTTAATAACATTTCTGATTAGGAATGTTACAGGAAGGTACATGTTATTGACAATTACCATTGTAATAACCTTTCTAATTATGGATGTTATGGGAAGGTTTATATTACGTGACAATTACTTGAAATTTATATATATTATTTTTGTACAAATAGTTTGTACATATAATATGTAGCTCCATAATTTTTGTGATAGGAAATATAACTTTATCCAATATAATTCAATAGATAATGATAAAAAACGTGGTATAATGCCATAGAATTTTGAGGAGATAGTAACAATTGCAACCAACTGCAGTATTGATATCAGCAGCTTAAAAAAGCACAAGCGCCTAGAACCATAAAAGCTTCAAGTTTATTTAAGAGTTAACGAGTTTTTTCCATCTAAATAATGGTTACCTATAGACTTTTAAAATATCATTTTATTATCTAAATTTATATTCTGGAGATGAACAGAGAGAAAATTCGGTCTAGACTGTTAGGGCTTTTGAAGAGGAGAGATCGATGAGTCTTTCAGTGGTACAATATTAGATTTTGGTAGTTGGGATTGGTCGGAATTTGACTAGGGGGGAGTGACTACGTAAACCCTAATAGCTTGATTGCTGGTGATTTGCGGGGCCGACAGGAGTGGGTTTTGAGGGGTTTTGTAAGTGATGATCGAGGAAAAGAATCGTGGAAGTATAGGGTGACAACGATGCCAAAATCGGAAACAGAATATAAATTTAGATAATAAAATAATATTTTTAAAGTCTGTAGGTAAGAAATTGTCATTGAATCATTATTTGGATGAAAGAGCCGATTACTGTTTATTTAATTACTTTTATTTTTTATTTATTTTTTAAGGTAACGTTTCAACTTAAAAGTTTTCATTAATTAATTTTAAAAAATTAATTAGTTGGATTGAACTTGATGAAGTATTAAATTTCTTAAAATATATTAATTTGTTATTTTAAAGTCGGGATATATTTTAAAAAATAGTAAAAACTACTTGTAGAAAGTAAATAACTTTATCTAAAATAAGTGTCTAGATTGTATCGGGGTGGTTGAAATGTAAGGGTAGTTCGAGTTTTTTATTTTTTAATGGTGTGACAGATAATTAAGAAAATTACAATGTGTGGAAGATAACATCTGATGTATACCTACCACATGTAAACTGTAAAGTGAAGAGTTCACTTATAAACATGGGAGTATGTTGTATTTGTACCAGTTGTATTCAATACTCCTTCAAACGTTTTTAACTTCTCTTGTCCATTAAACCATTTCAAACTCTCCATTGCCCCCAAACACTATTATCTTCTTGCATTTTGATCTACTCCATTTTCTCTTCAAGATCTCTCCCATAGCCATAGTTCGTTCGTCGTTGAGGTGACCGCCGTGGAAAATATATTAGTTAGAACAGGTGAATATATAGGATGGTAGAGAAAGCTTACTACGGTGATTACAGAATTTTTAGAAATGAGAACAGATACGAATTTAAAGTGTGTTATATGGAATATGTATTTACTGATGACACCCCTTGGAATAGTCAGAACCCTTTCATGCGACATCTCCCTATCCTTACCATGCAAATTTCTCTTTTCATAATCATAATGCACTTTTTCATGATCCTCCTCAAACCTCTTCGTCAGCCTCGTTTTGTTTCTCAGCTTATGGTAAGTGCAACATCTCAGCTCCATCCTTCTGCTATATGTTATAATTTTGTTATTAAACATCAATACCTCATGCAAGTTCATTCATCTTTTTCTTCTTGCATATGCATAGATTGACACTTGATGCTTAAAATTCTGCGTCGATTCTATCAATGTTCAAGATTTAATTGGGAAGGTTAACAATTATTTGACACGGTTATTTCTTTTCCTGGGTATATAGGCTTCTATTCTCGTTGGCCCAACTTTGCTAGGGAGTATTTTTTATTGGGAACGTGATCCTTTTAGATGGATGAATCTTTTCCCATACGAGCAGAGCATGTTGTTAGAGTCATACGCCAATTTGGGGGTCACTTACTACATGTTCTTGGTGGGGTTAGAGATGGATCTATCCAATTTAAAGCACACGAGAAAGAAATCATGGAGCATCGCCTTTGTTGGATTTTTTATTCCATTTGTTGTTGGGGCAATCTTATACTTTGTACCTCTTGTAAATGACCGGCCGGAACGAGATCAAAATTATGTGGGTGCTCTGTTCTGGGCTATAACTCTGAGTATCACAAGTTTCCCCGACGTGGCAAGAACACTTTCAGATGTCAAGCTCCTCCACACAGAACTTGGCACAATTGCCTTGAGTTCCGCTCTCATTACTGATATCTTGACATGGCTATTTCTTGTTCTGGCAATTGTTATTTCAGATGAGAATCTTCATAGCATAACTTTGTCATTAGTTCCAATATTTTGCTTTATAACAGTCTCCTTCTTTGGATTGCATCCACTCATTACTTGGATGTTACAGCATACCAAAAACAAACAAGGCAAATTCAGCAATAAATTAAGCGATACCCTTATATATATCATTCTCATGGGCGTGGCTGTTAGTGGATTCATCACAGACGCGTGTGGCTCACATTCACTGGTGGGTGGTTTTGTATTTGGACTTATCATACCAAAAGGAGAGTTTGCCATTGAGGTTATGGAGAAAACAGAAGAGTTTGTGAGTGGAATTTTGTTGCCAGGCTTTCTTATCTGCAGTGGGATTAGAACAGATTTTCGTAATCTGGTAAAAGAAACTAAATGGTCTTCTGTTGGGATGATCACAACTATTGCTACCTCCGCAAAAATTGTAAGCACTCTTGTCGTCTCTTCATCTTTTCGCATGTCATTGAAGGAAGGTTTGACTCTTGGAGGTCTTATGAACATTAAAGGTGTATTTGCACTCGTAGTTCTTAATGAAGGCCGGAATTTGAAGGTATATGCACCTCACTTTTTTTTATTAATTAATATTATGCAGTAAGTGATAAGGTAAATGAAATTAATTTCACATAAGATTGTGAATGAAATTAATAATTATGCTCTAAATATTCAATTGTAACATACATATATCTTTTATTGCAGACTTTGAATGAGGTATATATGGTGGTAATGGTGTTCATAATTTTGATGATGACATGTTTGGTTAGGCCAATACTGATGTTAATCAACTGCACCAGAAAGCATTCAAGTCATAACAAGCTAAGGACCATACAGGCAAGTAAGCCAAATTCTGAACTCCGAGTTCTCACATGCATTCATTCAGGTCAGAATATCTCTGGCATCATTCATCTCCTTGAAGTTTCCAATTCCACTAGAGAATCCCCCATATGTGTCTTCGCTGCCCACCTCGTTGAGCTCACTGAACGAGCGTCAGCCATTTTGATTTTGCACGATAAACTCAAGACTAGCACCACACCCAGCTTAAGTCAAGGAAAGTCACAGCCAGACCATTATATCTTCAGTGCCTTTGAAAACTATAAGATCGGCAATGAATCAGTTTCTTTTCATCCACTCTCGGTTTTGTCACCTTACACAACTATGCATGAGGACATCTCCAAGGTCGCTGAGGATAAGGCTGTGACAATAATTTTAATTCCATTCCACAAGCAACCAACTGCTGATGGTGGGTTGCAAGGTGAAAACAAGACTATAAAGTATGTTAACAAGAACTTATTGGCTAAGGCACCATGCTCTGTTGGCATACTCGTTGATCGAGGCCTAGGATCATCCAAACTTTCCAAGTCATTATCGAGTGACAAATTACCGGAGCTCCAATTAGCCATGCTCTTCATTGGCGGGCCTGACGACCACGAGGCTTTAAGTTATGCTTGGAGAATGGCAAGAAAAGAAGGCGTCATCTTAACGGTGGTACGGTTTCGACCAAGTATAGATGGAAAAAACAATGAAAATGAGAGTTGTTATTCCATCAAGGAAGATGAGAATAAAGTAGAGTTTGATGATGATGATTATATTAATTTGTTCAGGTTCAAATCAATGTATGACAAATCCATAACTTATCTTGAGAAACGGGTCAAAAGTAGTAATGAACTTGAGAAAGCCATTGGAGAACTATACAGTAATTTTGATCTGTATATTGTTGGACGTGGTCGAGGAGTAAAGTCACCATTGACAGATGGACTTATAGATGGGGGCGACAGTCAAGAACTGGGAGTAATTGGAGACACATTGATATCATCCAAATTTACAGCGCATGCATCAGTTCTTGTGGTGCAACAATCTGCTTCAAGTGAAATAATGGATGATAGCTCGCCGCCATCAGAAAGCAACTTCAAACAAAAGAAATGGGCTTCGCCAGTTTTAAATCCTGAGTATGAAGCCAAATACGGCAAAGAACAAGAAGAAAGACTTTTAATAGGTAGGATTTGTAGACATGGACTCCACGAGGAATCAATAAAAATGTAGATATGCTTTAGGTGATGTATATATTAAGCACAGACAATTTTGCTATAGATGCAATTTATTTATAGAAGAACATTTTTGAATTCCTTGAAATTTAGTCTCTTTTACCCTTATTACGGTCTTCAGAACACATGATATTTATTTTCTCATATTCATACGTGGTATTAAGTTCAAATATGGAAATAATTAATAGAAACATATACTTTTTATAATTATAAAATTTTAGATTTTGAAAGACATTTTTAGATTTTAAATATAATTTAGGAACCAAACTTTATTAAAATGCCATCCTACTACCCATATTCGTTTTAAAAATGTTTCATTTTGTAGTTATTTCTATAAATTTTAAAAAATAATGAGTTCAATTACAAAAAATATTAGTTAAAAAAATTAGAAAAAAATTACCTAATATATTTACAATAATGGTACGGACACCGGGATTTTTACACCGAAATATTGTACCGCCTACGTGTAATACGCCTCTGATTTTTTTAACAATTTTTTTCTAGTGAACGGCCGTCCATCAAATTTGGACGACCGTGCACTCAGATGGACGCCCGTCCATATTATATGGACGGACAAGGGACGGGCGTCCCCATTTAAAGGACGTCCGTCCCTAATTAAAATACAATAAAAATTTTTTATAAACATTAGGGACGGTCATCCATCCGTTATGGACGGTCGTCCATTTATTTTGGACGGGCATCCGCAAATAAGGGACGCCCGTCCTTAACCAAAATATAAAAATAAAAAAAAAATAAAAATTGGGATGGCCGTCCATAAATTTTGGACGGCCGTCCCTTACGTTTGGATGGACGTCCATTAGGAATGGACGCTAGTCCCTTACGAGTGGACGCCCGTCCATACTTTTAAAAAAAAAAAAAATATAAACCTCTTATTCTTTGTCTTCTAAACCACTTGCAGTCCTCTTCTAAACCAGCTTCGTTTTCTTAAAGCTTACACGCACGCGAACTGCGAACTATAATAGGATTGCAAACTGCAAACTGCGCACTTCCTCCCCCCCGTGGTGAACTCGAGCTGGAAGACAGCCCTCATCCCAGCCCAACGGAAGCGTATTGCACTCTGGCCACTATCTCCTGCAGCTAACCTTGTCGTACCCCACAGATACGATACCAACTTTGCATAGCTTCTTCGCCATTTTCATTTTGTTCTCAGCCCCGAACAGGACCCAGCTTTGCTCTCTTTCTGTTCATCCATTAATGAGCAAGATGCTTTTCTTTGCCATAATGATGAATTGTCTAGACCCAGCTTTGACACTTGCATGTGCTTCTGACTATAGGGATCTGTTTACCCTTCCTATGTTACCAAATGAAAAGAAGAGAGCAACTGCTGCTAAATTTGAGCTTGCTTCATTGTACGGTGGGCAAAGTGATTAGCTAGCAGTCATAGCAGCTTTTGAGTGCTGGAGGAATGCAAAACAGAGGGGTCAAGAAGCACGGTTTTGTTCTCAGTATTTCGTCTCTTCAAGCATCATTAATATGCTGCTTAATTTCAAATTATCATTTAAGAAAACTGAGGATTGTCCATAGCAGCCGTTACAGCAGCCACTGCTGCGTATTCATCTTCAAGAAAGAACCAGCAGCAGCCACTCCTTGTTTCATTTAAAATGTTTTTTTTTTTTTTTTAAAGTATGGACAGGAATGGACGCCCGTCCAAACGTAAGGGACGACTGTCCAAAATTTATGGACGGCTGTCCCAATTTTTTTTTTATTTTTTATTTTCATATTTTGGTTAAGGACGGGCGTCTCTTATTTGTGGATGCCCGTCCAAAATAAAGGGACGACTGTCCATAACGGATGGACGGCCGTCCCTAATGTTTATAAAATTTTTTTTATTGTATTTTAATCAGGGACGGGCGTCCTTTAAATGGGGACACCCGTCCCTTGTATATGGACGCCTGTCCATATTATAATATGGACGGACGTCGATGTGAGTGAACGGTCGTCACTAGAAAAAAAATTGTTAAAAAAATCAGAGGCATGTTACACTTAGACCGATATAATATTTCGGTACAAAAATTCCGGTGTCCGTAGCATTATTGGTGTCAGCATGTTGAAATTGCACCGACGTCAGGCCGTTTGACCAGTTTCCGGTGGAATAATAGCAGTTTAATAGGTTGTAAATTATATTAAAATAGTATCTTCAATATTCAATTGAAAGAGGTGACAGATGCAATGAATTGTGATTTTTGTTGTGGTAACAATGTGTTACGGGAAGCTGTTAAGACGGCTGCTTAAATGTCAATGATACAGAGGTTTGTTTTAACTACTAACTGCGGTTCACTAATAGGAAGGAAAACTTATCTGGTCTTCATTGTCGCTTGTTACCAACAGTTTTGGCCACCTGATCAAGACCAGTTTTTGTATATACAGTTTTGAAAAAAAATTATAATTAACCAGTACTCATTACAACTATTCTATGTAATAATCTACAAGATGGTGAACTAAAAGTTTGAAAACATAGTCAAAACAGCAAGCAAAACCGTAGTAACGACAGGAGCAGCGAAAAGAGCAAAGGCTGCGTATAGCCGTACAATAATACTTAAATAAGTTTAACAAATCTTTCTAATAAATAAGTTGATCATGTTGGACCGTACTTGTAGAATCAAATATCCTCTTCAGTATCTCTTTTATCTCCTTGTCTTTCCGGAGACAGTTTCTCTTCAAGACTGATCTCTGCAAGGGCTATATATTTATAATCCATTATTGACGGCTCCGGCCGCTGTGAAACATTATAGTTAGAACCAGTGAAGTATAATATACAGGATGAACAATTTCAAACTAAACGGCTCTAGACAAGATATACAAGTATGTTCCATCAAATATGTTGCCTTAGATGACACCCCTTGGACTATTAATAATTCTTTGGTTGATCATATTCCTGTCCTTTCCACGCAACTTGCTGTTGTGATATTCATCATGCGCTTTCTCATGATTGTCCTCAAACCTCTTCACCAGTCTCGTTTTTCCGCTGAGCTTATTGTAAGTGCTCTCTCCTTCTGCTATATATATAAGATCATAGTGTGTTTAAATATCAGTGCATCATGAACATGTTCATTAATTCATCTTATATATATATATATATATATATGAACGCATACATTATACATATATATTAGTATTTAATACTCATCTTCTCTAGCATATATAAATGTTAATGCAGGAGTATATCACTCGCATATGTACCCGATACTCAAGATTTAATTAAGAAGGTTAATTAATGATTAGCTGACGTTTTTCATTTTTTTTTTTCATGGTATATACATATAGGCTAGTATTCTGATTGGCCCATCTGCACTTGGGGGATTCACTTTTTGGAAATTCGAGGCTCTTAAATGGATGAATCTTTTTCCCTTCGATCATAATATGTTATTGGAGACTTTCGGCAATTTGGGGGTGACTTACTACATGTTCTTGGTGGGGCTGGAGATGGATCTATCAAATTTAAAGCATACGGGAAAGAAGTCATGGAGCATTGCAATTGCTGGAATTTTGGTTCCATTTTGTGTTGGGGCATTATTATTTTTTGTACCTATTCTTAGAGATATGAGCCGAAGGCCAAGTGCTACCGGTGCTGTGTTCTGGGCTATAACTCTAACAATCACAAGTTTCCCCGACCTGGCAAGAACCCTTTCAGATGTGAAGCTCCTCCACACGGAACTTGGAAGAACTGCCTTGACTTCTTCCATCATTACTGACATCAGTACATGGATTCTTCTTGCTATGGCAATAACCCTTTTTGGTGAAAGTCGTCAAAGCATAATTTTCAGAACAATTCCAATTATTAGCTTTGGACTGTTCTGCTACTTTGCATTGCGTCCGGCCATTGCGTGGATGATACAGCGTACTAAAAACAAACAAGGCAAAGTAAGCGACAGGCAAGTATATTTCATTCTTACGGGCGTGCTTCTTTGTGGATTTATGGCAGACGCGTGTGGCTCGCATTCCCTTGTTGGTGGTTTCATGTTCGGACTAATCATACCAAAAGGAGAGCTTGCCATTGAAATTATGGAAAGAACTGAAGAGTCTGTGACTGGAATTATGTTGCCAACCTTCATTATCACTAGTGGGCTTAGAACCAATTTTGTTTATCTACTAATCAAAGCTAAATGGCCTTATCTGGTGATGATTTCAATTATAGGTTCATTAGCCAAAATTGTGAGCACTGTTTTCGTCTCTTCAATTTTTGGCATGTCACTAAAAGAAGGTTTGATTCTTGGTGGTCTTATGAACTCCAAAGGTGTTTTTGCACTCATCGTTCTTAATGAAGGCCGGAACATCAAGGTATATATACTTTGTTTCTTTTACTAATAGTGATATGTTAGCTTGATAGATTATTTCACTTTGAGCTTATAATTAATATATTTTCTATGTTTTTTTATCGCAGGGTTTGGATGTCAATTACATGGTTACAATGGTGTTAACAGTTTTATTGATGACATGTTCGGTTGGGCCAATGGTAGTCTTAATCAACAAAACCGGAAAACATTCGAGTCAAACCAAGCTAAAGACAATTAAGGCAACTAGCCCTAACTCAGAATTCCGAATTCTCACATGCATTCATTCTATTCAGAATCTCTCTGGCATCATCCGTGTCCTAGAGATTTCCAATGCCACTGAAAAAGTCCCCATATGTGTCAACGCTGTCCACCTTGTTGAGCTCACTGAACGTGCTTCAGCCATGTTGGTTGTTCATGATAAACTCAAAACTAATACCCTATCTCGCACAACAAGTAGTGAAAAGGTACATTCAGACCATATCTTCGACGCTTTTCAAAGTTATAAGATGGGGAACGAATCATCCTTTGTGCATCAACTCACGGTCTTGTCACCTTACACCACTATGCACGAGGACATCGCTAAGCTTGCGCAGGATAGGGCTACCACGATGATTTTGATCCCATTTCAAAAGCAACCAACTGCTGATGGAGGCTTTCAATGTGACAACCCTTCAATAAAGGAAGTCAATAGACATTTGTTGGCTAAGTCACCATGTTCTGTGGGCATACTCGTTGATCGTGGACTTGGACCAACCAAACAAGGCAAGCCAGTATTTGGAGGCAGATCACCGGGGCTCCAATTAGCCATGATCTTCCTTGGTGGGCCTGATGACCACGAAGCTTTAAGTTATGCATGGAGAATGGCAGGAAAACAAAGCGTCACCTTAACAGTGGTACGGTTTCGGCAGCATCAGGCACAAATCATGCCAGAAAATAAAGACAATGATGAAAATGATGAGGACTCTGTAGGGACTAAAAAAGAGTTCGATGATGATTATATAAATGAGTTCAGGTTCAAATCAATGTGCGACCCATCCATAATTTATCATGAGAAAGTGGTGAATAATAGTGAGGAACTTGAGAAAACAATAAGCGAACAGTATAATAACTTTGATCTGTATATGGTTGGACGTGGTTTAGAAGTAAAAACTCCATTGACAAAGGGACTAATTGATTGGGGAGACTCGAGTACGCTGGGACCAATTGGAGATACATTGGTATCATGCAAATATACTGCACATGCATCACTTCTTGTGGTGCAACAATCTCCTTTCGCAAGTGATGTTAGCTTGCAGCGTTCAAAGAGCAAGTTTGAACAAAGGAAATGGGCTTCACCGGTTTTAAATCCTGAGTACGAAGCCATTGTAAATGAATCAATCAAAGGCTGAATTCTAGACATCAAGTTCAAGGATGTAGAGAAATTTATTGTTATCCAATCTGTATTTATGTTCAATTATTATTACGCTAGAAGCTTTGATAATTTTATTTGTCAATAGTAATTAAAAGACGAACGAAATTGTCGTTAATATCATTTCAATACTGACATTAATTTTGTTTCTCAAATTAAGTGCTGTGCATTTCTGATCAAAATACAGCCTTGGTAATTGTCATATATTTTCTTAGTCCCATATTCTGTTAATTGCTCTTTTTAAAGATAATTAGTACATACAAATTTAAGAGCAATATACAGTTTGTATTAAAGATTTTGAAGAGTCTACACCAAAAGTCCACTCAGTAGATGGATTCTGTTCATTTCTTGGCTGTCCATATTCATTTTGGGTCTGATACCAATGGAACGAAATAAAGTCTAAAACGAAATTAAACACAGTGCTGGAGGAATGCAAAACAGAGGGGTCAAGAAGCACGGTTTTGTTCTCAGTATTTCGTCTCTTCAAGCATCATTAATATGCTGCTTAATTTCAAATTATCATTTAAGAAAACTGAGGATTGTCCATAGCAGCCGTTACAGCAGCCACTGCTGCGTATTCATCTTCAAGAAAGAACCAGCAGCAGCCACTCCTTGTTTCATTTAAAATGTTTTTTTTTTTTTTTTTAAAGTATGGACAGGAATGGACGCCCGTCCAAACGTAAGGGACGACTGTCCAAAATTTATGGACGGCTGTCCCAATTTTTTTTTTATTTTTTATTTTCATATTTTGGTTAAGGACGGGCGTCTCTTATTTGTGGATGCCCGTCCAAAATAAAGGGACGACTGTCCATAACGGATGGACGGCCGTCCCTAATGTTTATAAAATTTTTTTTATTGTATTTTAATCAGGGACGGGCGTCCTTTAAATGGGGACACCCGTCCCTTGTATATGGACGCCTGTCCATATTATAATATGGACGGACGTCGATGTGAGTGAACGGTCGTCACTAGAAAAAAAATTGTTAAAAAAATCAGAGGCATGTTACACTTAGACCGATATAATATTTCGGTACAAAAATTCCGGTGTCCGTAGCATTATTGGTGTCAGCATGTTGAAATTGCACCGACGTCAGGCCGTTTGACCAGTTTCCGGTGGAATAATAGCAGTTTAATAGGTTGTAAATTATATTAAAATAGTATCTTCAATATTCAATTGAAAGAGGTGACAGATGCAATGAATTGTGATTTTTGTTGTGGTAACAATGTGTTACGGGAAGCTGTTAAGACGGCTGCTTAAATGTCAATGATACAGAGGTTTGTTTTAACTACTAACTGCGGTTCACTAATAGGAAGGAAAACTTATCTGGTCTTCATTGTCGCTTGTTACCAACAGTTTTGGCCACCTGATCAAGACCAGTTTTTGTATATACAGTTTTGAAAAAAAATTATAATTAACCAGTACTCATTACAACTATTCTATGTAATAATCTACAAGATGGTGAACTAAAAGTTTGAAAACATAGTCAAAACAGCAAGCAAAACCGTAGTAACGACAGGAGCAGCGAAAAGAGCAAAGGCTGCGTATAGCCGTACAATAATACTTAAATAAGTTTAACAAATCTTTCTAATAAATAAGTTGATCATGTTGGACCGTACTTGTAGAATCAAATATCCTCTTCAGTATCTCTTTTATCTCCTTGTCTTTCCGGAGACAGTTTCTCTTCAAGACTGATCTCTGCAAGGGCTATATATTTATAATCCATTATTGACGGCTCCGGCCGCTGTGAAACATTATAGTTAGAACCAGTGAAGTATAATATACAGGATGAACAATTTCAAACTAAACGGCTCTAGACAAGATATACAAGTATGTTCCATCAAATATGTTGCCTTAGATGACACCCCTTGGACTATTAATAATTCTTTGGTTGATCATATTCCTGTCCTTTCCACGCAACTTGCTGTTGTGATATTCATCATGCGCTTTCTCATGATTGTCCTCAAACCTCTTCACCAGTCTCGTTTTTCCGCTGAGCTTATTGTAAGTGCTCTCTCCTTCTGCTATATATATAAGATCATAGTGTGTTTAAATATCAGTGCATCATGAACATGTTCATTAATTCATCTTATATATATATATATATATATATGAACGCATACATTATACATATATATTAGTATTTAATACTCATCTTCTCTAGCATATATAAATGTTAATGCAGGAGTATATCACTCGCATATGTACCCGATACTCAAGATTTAATTAAGAAGGTTAATTAATGATTAGCTGACGTTTTTCATTTTTTTTTTTCATGGTATATACATATAGGCTAGTATTCTGATTGGCCCATCTGCACTTGGGGGATTCACTTTTTGGAAATTCGAGGCTCTTAAATGGATGAATCTTTTTCCCTTCGATCATAATATGTTATTGGAGACTTTCGGCAATTTGGGGGTGACTTACTACATGTTCTTGGTGGGGCTGGAGATGGATCTATCAAATTTAAAGCATACGGGAAAGAAGTCATGGAGCATTGCAATTGCTGGAATTTTGGTTCCATTTTGTGTTGGGGCATTATTATTTTTTGTACCTATTCTTAGAGATATGAGCCGAAGGCCAAGTGCTACCGGTGCTGTGTTCTGGGCTATAACTCTAACAATCACAAGTTTCCCCGACCTGGCAAGAACCCTTTCAGATGTGAAGCTCCTCCACACGGAACTTGGAAGAACTGCCTTGACTTCTTCCATCATTACTGACATCAGTACATGGATTCTTCTTGCTATGGCAATAACCCTTTTTGGTGAAAGTCGTCAAAGCATAATTTTCAGAACAATTCCAATTATTAGCTTTGGACTGTTCTGCTACTTTGCATTGCGTCCGGCCATTGCGTGGATGATACAGCGTACTAAAAACAAACAAGGCAAAGTAAGCGACAGGCAAGTATATTTCATTCTTACGGGCGTGCTTCTTTGTGGATTTATGGCAGACGCGTGTGGCTCGCATTCCCTTGTTGGTGGTTTCATGTTCGGACTAATCATACCAAAAGGAGAGCTTGCCATTGAAATTATGGAAAGAACTGAAGAGTCTGTGACTGGAATTATGTTGCCAACCTTCATTATCACTAGTGGGCTTAGAACCAATTTTGTTTATCTACTAATCAAAGCTAAATGGCCTTATCTGGTGATGATTTCAATTATAGGTTCATTAGCCAAAATTGTGAGCACTGTTTTCGTCTCTTCAATTTTTGGCATGTCACTAAAAGAAGGTTTGATTCTTGGTGGTCTTATGAACTCCAAAGGTGTTTTTGCACTCATCGTTCTTAATGAAGGCCGGAACATCAAGGTATATATACTTTGTTTCTTTTACTAATAGTGATATGTTAGCTTGATAGATTATTTCACTTTGAGCTTATAATTAATATATTTTCTATGTTTTTTTATCGCAGGGTTTGGATGTCAATTACATGGTTACAATGGTGTTAACAGTTTTATTGATGACATGTTCGGTTGGGCCAATGGTAGTCTTAATCAACAAAACCGGAAAACATTCGAGTCAAACCAAGCTAAAGACAATTAAGGCAACTAGCCCTAACTCAGAATTCCGAATTCTCACATGCATTCATTCAATTCAGAATCTCTCTGGCATCATCCGTGTCCTAGAAATTTCCAATGCCACTGAAAAAGTCCCCATATGTGTCTACGCTGTCCACCTTGTTGAGCTCACTGAACGTGCTTCAGCCATGTTGGTTGTTCATGATAAACTCAAAACTAATACCCTATCTCGCACAACAAGTAGTGAAAAGGTACATTCAGACCATATCTTCGACGCTTTTCAAAGTTATAAGATGGGGAACGAATCATCCTTTGTGCATCAACTCACGGTCTTGTCACCTTACACCACTATGCACGAGGACATCGCTAAGCTTGCGCAGGATAGGGCTACCACGATGATTTTGATCCCATTTCAAAAGCAACCAACTGCTGATGGAGGCTTTCAATGTGACAACCCTTCAATAAAGGAAGTCAATAGACATTTGTTGGCTAAGTCACCATGTTCTGTGGGCATACTCGTTGATCGTGGACTTGGACCAACCAAACAAGGCAAGCCAGTATTTGGAGGCAGATCACCGGGGCTCCAATTAGCCATGATCTTCCTTGGTGGGCCTGATGACCACGAAGCTTTAAGTTATGCATGGAGAATGGCAGGAAAACAAAGCGTCACCTTAACAGTGGTACGGTTTCGGCAGCATCAGGCACAAATCATGCCAGAAAATAAAGACAATGATGAAAATGATGAGGACTCTGTAGGGACTAAAAAAGAGTTCGATGATGATTATATAAATGAGTTCAGGTTCAAATCAATGTGCGACCCATCCATAATTTATCATGAGAAAGTGGTGAATAATAGTGAGGAACTTGAGAAAACAATAAGCGAACAGTATAATAACTTTGATCTGTATATGGTTGGACGTGGTTTAGAAGTAAAAACTCCATTGACAAAGGGACTAATTGATTGGGGAGACTCGAGTACGCTGGGACCAATTGGAGATACATTGGTATCATGCAAATATACTGCACATGCATCACTTCTTGTGGTGCAACAATCTCCTTTCGCAAGTGATGTTAGCTTGCAGCGTTCAAAGAGCAAGTTTGAACAAAGGAAATGGGCTTCACCGGTTTTAAATCCTGAGTACGAAGCCATTGTAAATGAATCAATCAAAGGCTGAATTCTAGACATCAAGTTCAAGGATGTAGAGAAATTTATTGTTATCCAATCTGTATTTATGTTCAATTATTTATACGCTAGAAGCTTTGATAATTTTATTTGTCAATAGTAATTAAAAGACGAACGAAATTGTCGTTAATATCATTTCAATACTGACATTAATTTTGTTTCTCAAATTAAGTACTGTGCATTTCTGATCAAAATACAGCCTTGATAATTGTCATTTATTTTCTTAGTCTCATATTCTGTTAATTGCTCTTTTTAAAGATAATTAGTACATACAAATTTAAGAGCAATATACAGTTTGTATTAAAGATTTTGAAGAGTCTACACCAAAAGTCCACTCAGTAGATGGATTCTGTTCATTTCTTGGCTGTCCATATTCATTTTGGGTCTGATACCAATGGAACGAAATAAAGTCTAAAACGAAATTAAAATTACAATAATAACATAAACACAAACAAATAATAAAGAAAAAAAAGTAATATATATGATTTACTATGGTCCACCCAATTAACATGTTATGTCCAATAAAATCAATATTATTTCAATACTGTCTCAGTTCTCTCGTTTATAATGAATGAATTTATCATATTATTTACTATCACTCATTACAAAGAAAAAATATGTTTATATATTCCGTTTAAATGACTAAAATCTTATATTACAAAGATTCTCATTTCTAAGCTTAAACCAAATAAAAAATTAATAATTTAAAGAAAATTTTCAACGGTTATATATGAAAAATGCCCAAACCACCTACGGGTCAGGAGCATTACCCCTTGCACCCCACCCACTCACCAAGATCCCCTTCAACGGGATCCTCAAATGCGTCTACATGACCCATTATAGTTGAAATAGTCGACAACTCCAACACACTAGCAGCCGACGTGATACATTAGATATAAGCAAATTAAGAATGGTGCTAAATACGCTATTATCAACTGCACCCCGTTATCTAAATACAATCAAACACTACTTTAAAATTGATTTTAATATTTTCATGATTAACCACTTACTTTCTCAAAACAAATTTCATTTCATGAGTTTACTTTATAATCCTCACTTTCATTAAAAATTTTATCTGAAGAAGACAATAACCTACATAAATTTATTACTTACTATACTTGCAAAGTCATATTCTTAAAATATCTTGTATTTTGTTTTTATTTTCTAAATCTATCTCCTCGGTTGAAAAAGTGCTATAAGAACATCTCCAATGTTTTAAAGAACACCCTTCATATAAAATAAAGAACATCTTTATTCCTTTCTAAATATAAATGTTATGTGTGATTTTTCTGTCAAGCTTGGAGAATTGCGAGGTTATAGCTTGCCGAGGAACCTACCCGATTCAATTGATTGTCCGACCCAATATAAGCTTGTCGAGTTGTAACTCAACTTAGCACAAGCTAGTTGTGACCAATCCTCACAGATGTTCAACCAGCTCACAGATAATTTTAGATCTCGGGTATCTCGGAAATAATCAGATCGACATCAATCTTTGAGCAATCACAGAACCCAATCGCGAGAATATCAGAGTTGCATTTCAAATTTATTTGTAATCCTTTTATTTTTGCTATTTCCTTTGTACAAAATCTGTATATAAACCCCCTCCAACGATAAGAAATGAGTTAACAAATTGTTCTAAGATTGTTATTATAAGCTCTCACAGCACATATAAAAACAGTGGATATAGGCTTAAGAGCTTAACTTGCCGAATCACTTTAAAAGCTCTCTTGCCATTTACTTTACCGTATATATTGTTTATTCTTTGCTGGTTATCCGTAATCACACACGCATCAGTTCTGATCCCATCAAAGTCGATCGATTCACTCTAATTGGTGTATTTTTACATCAACAATAAATAACAAAATTTTTAATAAAGAGAGAATTAATAAATAAAATACATAGAAACTTGTAGTTTATTACTTAAAATATAGATAGAGAGTTAAAATTTGACTCTCCAGATGTAGAGAGTCAAACTCATTTTTTAATTTATATTTAAAAGATAAAAGTCTTTTAACTCTTATTTTTATAGATAAACTCTTTATAATAAAAAGTTTGGATCATATAAAGAGTAGAGATACTCTAATTGATAGATATGCCGCAAGTCTTAGACTCTTGAAGCAGTCTCTCCATCGCCTTTGTTTTTGCTGCTTAATCCCGCTCCACCAAGGCACCAATACAATTTGAGAGTTGCTTCTACTTTTCCATAAGAATAATAATTAATATCTTTAAAATATTAATAGAATAGGGTGCTTTATGTCTAAAGTAATTCATCTTTAATCAAATATATGATTCATGATGGCACTAGCAGGTGATCCTGAGGAAAACAAAATCTAAAAGATAAATTTGGTATCTTCTTTTCCCATTTACAGGGGATTGACAAACAAGACGGATAAATGTTAGTCACGTTTAGCTCAGCGGCCTTAGCCTGTTATAGTAATAACAACCGCTGCAACTGCAAGGAACAGACTGCGGACAACCATACAATTTTACTGATTACCTCTTTTTTCAAGTCTTTAACAATCTGAGTTGTCCTCCCAACTATACCCTATATATTCTCACTACTTACCCATTGGTTCTCAATGATTCTCCTCTAAATTCTCTCAACATTAACGTTCACCAAGAGCAAAGAGAAGAGGCATCAGCTGTGGAACAATGCCGGACTATTACAACAGCGGAATTTATACTATAACAAATACTTGTTATTAGAGTCATTTTCCACTTTAGGGCTCACTTACTACTTGTTCTTGGTGGGGCTAGAGATGGACATTCCACTATAAGGCACATGGATAAGAAGTCATGGACCATTGCCATTATAGGAACCATTTTCCCATTTTTTGTTGGTGCAAGCTTATACTATTTACCCATAATTCAACAAAAGGATGTAGTGTTAGCTCCTCTTGGTGCTTTGTTCTAGGCTATAACCTTAACTATGACAAGCTTCCCAGACCTCGCCAGGATCATTTCAGATTTCAAACTTCTCCACACGGAAGTTGGCAAAATTGCCTTAAGTTCTACCATCATTAACGATATTAGTACATGGTTTCTTTTTAATGGAACAATAATCACATCTAATGGTATTGGTTACAGAGTGGCCATAATGACAATTCCATATATTGCCTTTGTAGTAATCTGTGTGTTTGTTTTGCGTCCAAGCATTGGTTGGTTCATAAACCGCGCCAAAAAGGAAGGAGGCAAATACAGTGATACGCATGTATATTTCATTCTCATTGGCGTAGTTATATTCGGATGCGTTGCAGATGCATGTGGGTTGCATTCCCTGGTTGGTGGTTACATATTTGGACTAATTATCCCAAGAGGAGAGCTTGCCATTAATGTTATGGAAAGAAGTGAAAAGTTTGTGACTGGAATCATGTTATCAAGCTTCCTTATTTGCAGTGGACTTAGAACCCAATTTGATTACAAAGAAATTCAAGCTAACTGGGAAACTTTGATTTGTATTATAACTGTTGCTACATCTGCAAAGATTGTGAGCACTTCCATTGTCCCTTTGTGTTGTTGCATGTCTTTAAGGGATAGTTTGACTCTCGGAGGTCTTATGAATACCAAAGGTTTTTTGGCACTCATCGTTCTCAATGAAGGCCGGAGCATGCTGGTAACTATCTATATGTATATGCTTCCCTTAAATTTATTAATTAATCACATCAGAATCAATGTTAGTTGTGCAGCTAACGTCTATGTGACCAAAGAAATCATTTATTGACTAAGCATTTTATCAATTAGAGCACCAGGGTCACCAGAAAATTTACTTTTTGGACAAAAAAATTTGACTTGTTCACACATATATTTGGGCTTCTGATTGCAGGCTTTGGACAATATGTCAATGGCTATAATGTGTTAACTATTCTGTTCATGACGGGTTTGGTAGGGCCAATGGTCTTCTTAATCAACTGAACAAGAAAGCGTCCGACGCGAAACAAGCTAAGGACTATACAGGGAAGTAGTCCAGACGAAGAACTCCGAGTCCTCACTTGCATTCATTCAATCCCAAATATTCCAGGTATCATCAACCTCCTCCAAGTCTCCAATTCTACACAGAGATCCCCAATCTCTGTCTTTGCAGTCCACTTAGTCAAGCTCACTAGAGCTGCCCCATTGCTTATAGTTCACGATACACCTGACAACAATTCAGGTCGCGGAAACACGAAGTTAGACCATATCATTACAGCCTTTAAAGACTATAAGGACATGAATGAAGCAGTCTCCGTTTATCCACTTACCGCTGTATCGCCTTACCCTACTATGCACGAGGACATCTTTAGGCTTGCAGAGGACAAGGATGTCACAATCATTTCGATCCCATTTCACAAGCAAGTAACTGCTCACGGTGAGTTGCAGGATGACCACCATCCAATAAGGGATGTGTACAGAAACTTGCTAGAAAAGGCACCATGCTGCGTGGGCATACTCGTTGATCGTGGACTTGCATTTCACATAAGCTCAAATGTATCAAGTGGCAGGCGAGAGCATCGAGTCGCCGTAATCTTTATTGGTGGACCTGACGACTAGGAGGCCTTAAGTTGTGCATGGAGAATGGCAGGGACAATGCGCGTCACCTTAACTGTGGTGCGGTTTCAACTAGCAAAAGATCCGGATGTAGATGAAGTGGCAGAAGAGAAGGTGACTATGAAGGGATCTGATGATGAATACATCAACGAGTTCAGGTTCGAGTCAATGTTTGATGAATCAATAACTTATCATGAAAAACTAGTTCAAAATAGTGAAGAACTTGAAACAACCATAAGAGAACAGTACAATAGCTTTGATCTTTATATAGTTGGACGTGGGTTAGGAGTAAAATCACCATTGATAAAGGAACTAATAGAGTTGTGTGACAATCCAAGGCTGGGGCCATTGGGAGAGGCATTAGTATCATCCAGATATACAGAACATGCATCAGTTCTTGTGGTGCAACAATCTACTTCGGGTGGAGTGGATGCTAGATTGCCCCATCATAAGAGAAAAGTGATTAAAAAGGATTGGGCTTCTCCCATTTTAAATCCTGATTATGACACCACTGTGCAGCGAAAAAAACGGTGATTAATGATGTTGTTATGACGTCTTCAGTCACATGATAGGTGAGTTATTAGAGGTATTATCTACTTTGAGTCATATATTAGATTGTTAGCAGATCCGCTTAGTTTTGTCTTGAAAATGCACTTTTGGGTGATGAGAGTGTCCTTGTGCTATATAAGTGACCAATGCCCCATACGAGGGGCTTAGGAGATTTGGCATGAGTACAAACCGGTATGCTTAATTAGCCTAGGTAAACCTGGGCCCTCCTTCTAGCATCATCTATTGTTATGTCGTCTCCAGTCACATGGTAGGTGGGTTTTAAAGGTATTGTCTGCTTTAGGCCACAGGTTGGACTATTGGCAAGCCTGTACAGTTTTGTCTAAAAAAGATGCCTCTAAATGATGAGAGTGCTCTTGTGCTATATAAACAACTAAGGCTCTCGTCTCCTAGCCGATGTGGGAGTTTGACATTAACAAATGGTTTGTTCAAGCTCTCAACAATGACTTATACATTTTTCTTGATGATATTTTTACAATTATATATATATATTTGGAAGTCATGGATGGTCTTAGAAATTAAAAAGGAAAAAATATTGTCAATTTTGTTTAATGATCATGGAAAGAGAGCAGAATTGTTTTAGAAAGAAATGAGTTATGCATTTGAACAACTAAATACTTGAATAGACTTCTCAATATTACCGTAATTAAACCCACGAATTAGAGTGAGTTGGACCCCACGGTTTGGTGTTATACAGTTTATAATCTCTACCATACCTTCTTTTACTGATACAAAGCTGCTACTGAGTACTGATGTTACCAAAACTTATTTTATTCTTCTTGAAAAGTCTGTTTCCGGGTCCAAAATCCCATGGGCTTTCTTCTTGTGATTACACAAGGCCCGCTATGAACCTGGCCACTGCCTGTTAATGGGCCCTATATTAACAATTGATATTTCACGTTGACTGGATTTGTTCCATCATTGGAGCAATTTCTTTGGCTTTTGTTTTTTAGTTTCTCGTTTCTGCTTCAATAACATAAGAAATCCTAAAGAGGCGTAATTAGATAAACTTTGTATTTATTAATAAGAGTTATTATTATTAAAGTTTCTCACATCATCATCTCTGCAATCCTAAAAAGTGGCCATAGTTGGGTAGCTAGAAAAATTTGAGGTCAAGTTTTCTCAGGTTTGTAAGATGACCAATCCTAAAGAATTCTCAGTGTAATGTCAGTAATTGCTTCCGAGTGTCAAGAATTTATAAGGCATCTCCACTCTAACGCCATTTTGGTGTAAATGACGAAAAAGATGGTCTTCAATCCAGCATCAAATATTACACCAATTTGGTGTAAATATATAGTGTCACGTCAAATTTGGTATAACATTGTTCATGCACATCAATTTAGAATGGCACTGTTCAAATACTATAATTTTTTTAAAATTTTTATTATCTGTATTTATATTAATTTGATTATTATTTATATTAATATTTATAATAATAAATTTATAATAATTATATAATTAAAAAAATGATGAAAAATTAAAAATAAAACTTTACTCAATACAAATATTAAACTGCAATAACTCAAAATAAAAATTAACACTAATTTAAAAACACTAAAATTAAAAGAAAATACAACATAAACTAAAATAACAATTTAGTATTCAAGTATTTTTTTTATTTTTTATAATCTACCGGAATACTATATATATATATATATATTTTTTTTGATGGCATTTTATATTAGATATAATATTTGTCTATATTAAATGTAATGTTTATTTGATTTAATAAATGTTTAATTTTATTAAATTAGTATAATTTTTAAAGTAATTATTATTTAATAAAAATATCATTCTTAATATTTAAGAAATATATATATATATATATCTATATATATATAATAATATATATATTATATATATATATATATATATATATATATTGAATAGATTATTTGTTGATTATAATAGAAGAAAAATAAAAAATATTTTTTTTTGTATAATTTTGTGTAATAAGTTAGAGATGCAATAGTATTTCACTAACAAAAATTACTAATTTAGTGTTTGTGGTTAGGGAAGGTATAATGCAGCCTTCTTACATTGGAATCGCCCCTTAGAATCTTCTGTAATTATTTCCATTAACATGGACCAAGTTTACTGAAAGCTGGATTACTTTAAGGGGGCGTTTGGTTCAAGAATGTTAGATTATTGGGAATGTTGAATTACTGGAAAGATAGATTACCTTGAAAGATTATTGGGAATCTTTAAGAAAATGTGTTTGGTTAGTTGGTAGGTATGTTATATTAATTGGTTGGTTATAGGAAATAAATTGGTGGTAGTTATTAAATTACTAAATTGTCCCCTTTACAAATATTAATATAATATTATTTTTATTATTAATTTTTGAATAATTTCTTTTAACCCCCAATATTTCAGATTTAGTTAAAACACCATTGCTTATATAAAACTTTAATTTATTACGAAATCATCCCCGCCGCCTGCCGCCACCGCAGACCACCGCCGGAAGTCTCCGAAAGTCCCCATCAGTAACTCACTGTGACCAAGAGGCTTCGATATAGCCGTTTCCGGCCATATTGATGACCGAAAACGGCCATAGCGATGACTCCCGGAGCCTCCCACCAAAACTCGTTCTTTTTTAGGGACTCCGGCTAGTTTTCCGAGGCGGTCCGTGGTGGTTGGCCGTTGTAGACGGTGGTGGTTGGGTGGCAGTGGTGGTGGTGGCTGAGTGGCAGTGGTTGCAAATTGTTTTAAATTCAAGGACATTATTGTTCAAAATTTTAGTTAAATAAGGGTAAAATTGAAATAAGATATTAATGTAAATTTATTTTAAAATGAGAGCATTATTGTCCAAAATTTTCATTAATAAGGGATAAAATTATAACAAAAAATGATAACCCTGATAATCTCAGAATACCTAAAAAAATTGAGGTAATCAGATTACCTCCAATATTACCAATAGTAGTTACTATTAGTATTTGAAGATTATCGGAATCTTATATTACTTGACAATCAAACGTGATAATCAAGTAATATCAGATAACATTACCCCAATAATCTGATATTACTGCCAACCAAACGCCCCTAATAATTGTTAATTGATTAGAGTGATTTTCAAGGTTACAGCGCCTTGGTGCTTACTGTAGTTACAAGTGTAGGGTAAGCTCGGTTGACCCCACGCATTAAGAATTGGGTTAAAGTTTAGCTAAAGTCATTGCATTGGTAATAGGTATGGGCGGGTTTCATTAACTCAAAACCTGACAGAAATTACAAGCATATGCCTTATGTTGACCATGAGATTAAAAGAGAAAAGATAAACTGAATTCCAAACAACAAATACATTCTTATGTAAGAATTCTTGTGACCTTATATATAATCACAAACAAAGAAAATTGAATTTTAAGGAAGAACTCTTCTCGTGATGAATATGAACATCCCTATTAAGGATTATTCCAAGAAAAAAAAAAAAAAAGGCGAAGGCAAAGGTAGGCACATAAGTCACAAAATAAGAAATTTTGAAGTTCAAGGGAGAACTCTTGTTGTAACGAACATAAAGTTCTATCAAGGATACTCTGATATTGACCCTTATGGTCTCAGTTTGCCTTCAATGTCACCAAATAAATGTTGAAGAGGAACTCTTCTCTTCTCCTCTCTTCTCACCTTATATGCAAGAACACAGTATCATTATTAATGAGCATACTGCCAAGAGTAGTGATAGCATGAAAAACTCATCAGTACCAACTCACTGCTCCCTATATATGCTTTGCGCTCATTGATCACAGTTTTCTGCAACTTAAGGAGTGGCATCAATGAATGCTAGAGGAATGGCCCGGGAAGGTCCCAGCAGCAACTCCCGCTTGCAAGCACCAGTAGATCATGCATGGCTTGCGATCAGTGAAGACAAATAACTGAAAATGCAAACTATTAACACCCACATTCATGGCCTGAAGGGAATTCCATATATCATGGCATTGGCTGCCAATGCCACCATCCATTCCTTCAAATGAATGGTCTATTTGACCAACCAGAATGTCGGCTCTGGTACCTGGAGAGAGAACTTTTCTTTGGCAAGCTGTCCAAGAAGAGAGGCAATCTTTCCAAAACGAGAACAAACAGTTTTTTACCAGAAAGAACTCGAGCGCATTTGGGAATGTGTAATAAGAAAACCTGAAAGTCTCCGGCTTCACCCTCCCAGTTTCCAGGCTAAACATGCTGATGAGGCAACAGCTTAGCCATGAATATTCTATTAAAGCCACATCCTCAGTTCTACTGCAAGAAACAAACATGCTGATCAGGGGGACTGGTTGTTAAGACTTTACTCATCATCTTTTTTATTAGATTTTCAAAGAATTGCTCAGAGATTTTACAATGAAAGCTCTATTGTATTAAACAAAATCTAGTCTTTACCTGACTGCATATTATAACTTCTAGGGGGAAAAAAAATGGTCTTATACACTGCTCAAGAATCTAAAAGTTCTCAAGGGCCGATAATTTAAAAATTCTCTAATTTTTTTTTTTTTTAATTGATAATTTTACCGAGAAAAAATTTCTAAAAGGACAGCAATAACAGTTGTCAATTGTCATTGATCTGATCCAGTCACGAGGCTCACAAAAGATAGTTGATAAAATGACAAAACTTAATTTAACTATTGATTACCCTTTCTCCTTTAAACAAAATCAATAAAATCTAGTCTTTTCTTCCTCTCTTTCCAAGACATTCTACAAAACTTGTTCTCCAATTCAATTACCAAAGTTAAAAATGTTTCATTAAATCAAAGTTTTAAAAATGATCAGATCTGGTAATGCACTTAATTTTGACAACTCATAATAACGATGAATATCGATTCTATACCAAAACCAAAGTTACCCCCACCAAACTGAAACTACTTAGAACCTAATATAAACTCCACAAACTTGGAGATGAATATACATATAAAAAAGAAAGAGATAAAAGTACCTGAAATTATTAAGAATATCATTTCCAAACATCCCCGCTATGCTTTACCCACTCAAAATCCTCACCCTCTATTCTCAAGTACTGGAAAATATCACAAATAAGCAAAATCCATAAATGTGAATATATTTAACTCACATGTCAGGAACGAATATTACGCGTAGATGGGCAACTCAGATGTTCAGCATCTTATTCGAGCCGTTGCCCCTTCTACATTGTTGGTATGTTGTAAGGATGCCCATGAACGTACGTTAAATAGTGACTCTGGAAAAACCGAAAAAGTGATGAGTTGGAGGTTCAATGAACCTGGTCACTCTCGCATTTGCAATAGCGTATGGACACTGTTTTGAGGAATGATGAATTGATGATCCCTATTTCCCTTTGAAGGTTTATTTTGCATATTTTTGTTCTAAAGTGAAAGGTCACGAATACGATCAATGAAGTGGATGGTCAAGATCACTTGGTGAATTGGCTTTCGGCCTTGGTGATGATGACTTATGAGAAATAGTTTTTTGTCAAATATTCTGTCACTGTGGGAGATGTTTGAAGGCTGCTATTGATTTAACTTTACTGAATCTGTCAAACGATTAATTATTGTGAGAATCATATAATAAGATTTCTTTTTTTAACAGTGAAGTCATACACATCCTTTTAGGTATGAGATGTAAGATAAAATAATTGAAATAATTCACATGCTTTTAGGTATGTAATTTTTTAAAGTTTTAAACCATGTGACACTGCTTAAAGTGGGAATAACAGTTCGGCGACTGGGCGGGGACCCTGGATGATGTAAAGTGTCAACTAATTGTCTACTGTTTTTTAAAGCTGGCGCAAAGCAAGTAGCACTCTTTATTAACATTTGTATAACCTTCATAACAACTTCAGTTCCCAATTAATTGACTGATATCTCATTTTCCAATTCACATTTAGATCAAGGAATCAAAAAATATGGCTTAGTACTTAGAAATCACAGATCACCTAACAAGTGCAGTTTCCCAGTGGCTTCGAGCTACGTGAACAATTTACAAAATTAGAATAAAAAAAATAAAGATACAAGTACAGTAACATAAGTTACTCACTCTGTCTCTCTGAATAAGACTCAGTGCTGTAAGAAACATTATACTAGAGCTTGCAAGATAGGATCTAAAAATTTTAATCATGTAAATAAGCCCATAAATTAACAAACTACTACAAGTTGTCCCTTGCAACATAATCACTATCCTTCACTTCCCCAGAATTCCAATGGCTTGAAACAGTATATTCTATGATTTGGCATCAATCCACCAATACTACGCTTTTGATTTACACGATGAAAAATGTAAAGAGGGGAAGACGCAAAGGGTACAACAGCTAGGAAGTTGTATCTGTTGGATAACAACCAAGCACACGAAGAAATGTTGCAAATTCCTGCAGAGAAAATAGGAATGAGTTAATATGCTGCCGTCTCTCATATGGAGAGAATTGCATATCACTAGAACCAAATATCATTATAAAAAGTTATTAGAAGTATAAGAAGAGGACGGTGTAATGATCACAATAACCCCTGGCAGCAATAAAAATACTAAACCAGGAATCCACTAATTATTAAACAGCAATGAATTTAACCAAATAATCATGAGATATTTAACCTTGCAAAACATGCAGTATAATTTCTTTATAAATTACTAATAGTTCTTTTTTTAATTGACAACAGCTTTAACTGATATGTGAAAAATTGCATCATGGATCATTTGAATTTGGTGATGTTAAGGTTAGTGCTCGACAAGCATGGGTTCTACCTGCCACTGGCTGAGTTCGGCAAGTAGCCAAGCATAAAGATGTGAGAGACCTTAAACAAGATCATGATTTCAACCCAGACGGGCATACTGTCAGCTTGACAGAACATTCTGCTCTAAAACCTTTGAATATAAAATGCAATAGATGCCTGACCAAAACCCTTAAGATTTTAATTAATGGTAATAAGGGACTTCAGAGTCATAGATCAAAACCCCTATTAGGAGGCACAATTCATAAAGTAAGAAAATGATGAAGAACAAACCTGCAGATGTCCTAAAGCACTTTGTGCACGGGGCTCAGCCATTGAAGCCTCAAAATCAATAAAGAAAAGATAGTCGAAGTACCTGTGGGAACAACAGTGATGTCATCATAAATCTCAAAAGAGTTTTTGCCTATACCTATTTAGTTATTTACACTGATGTGAGTGAACATGAATTTTATACAATAAAGGTAGAAGTTTCTTAATCCCTTCTATTTTTTTTCCTTTTAAACATTAGATTTCAGACTGGGGGGTTAAACACCAAAAGTCAAATATAATTGTAATATATCAGACATAGGACTCTTGGAAAAAAATTCTTCTGCATCTGTATAACTGTTTGCACTATTTCACAAATTATTGTCTTTGTGCCAACAGTATTATACATCTGAAAAATTGACTCTGTTGGTTTATCTGAGTTGCCAAGGTGTCAGTTCTGTATCCAATGCAATGATGCTTTTGCAAATCAATCAAAATACAACTTAACAAATTATTTACATTAAAGAATTTAACTGAAACAACTGAAAAAATAATGCTCACTTGGCACTCCCATTGTTAGAGTCATCAACTAGTCTCAATGGTCGCTTTCTTTGCGGCCGGCTTTCAATCTGACATTGAGTAGAGATTTAAAAAAAGAAAAAAAATATTTCCATCACATCTTTAAAATAAAATTGAACTCTTAATCCTAATTACCTTTGTTAAACTTATGTCCCTCAATGCAAACACTGCCAAGGCTTTAAACAACACTCCAGGGCCTTCGTCTAAAGCAAACACGATGCTGGTCTACAAGTGAGGACAAGGATATTAAACTTTGGTAAAACTGAGGAAAGATAATAAAATGATAATGGTAAACTAAAATCTCACCTTAAAGGGCTTATCAGTCCTTGGAATTATCGGATCCCTTGCAAGTACAAGGAAACGAGTAAGAAAATCAGGGTCATCCTGCAAAAGCCATGTAATTTAAGCAAAATAAGTATCATTTTCCTATGAGGCTTAGCTATTTATAAGTAGCATTCAAGAAAAGTTACACTGAATTTCATACTAATAAATCTTTGTCAGTGTCAATATGTATAAAAGAATAATAACAAGCATAGTAGAACAAGTTTAATTGTTTTGACATCTTTTCTTTTCCATTTTACTATTTTTTTGGGTTGGGAGAAGGAAGAGGTGAAGGTAGAGGAGATGTAAAAGTGCACTTCACTTTGCTAGTTTAAGTCATCAATCAAGAATAATTGCTTCAACAAAGCGAATGGCGATTGGGAATATTATAGTAAAGTGGGTAGTTCCTCAACCAGACTGAAGGCCCACTGTATAACAGTGTAATATAACAAGTTTATGAAAGAAGCCATATAGAATATAGAGGCTTGGGTTGACTTTAAACATTTCACTCCGCATTTTATGAAAGAATAACAGTGTAATATTACAAGTTTCTCTCTTTAATTTCTTTTTCTTTTTTCTTCTTTTAGTCCTGTATCTTCATAGTCAAGTAAATTAGAGACTTCAATCAGATGGGAAACTGCAGCAAAACTAACCTGGATTTTAGTTGCCAGTATATTAAGCCCATAAATTTCTGCAGCTCGAGCACTTGCAATAACACCAGCATCTCTCAGGCCACTTGTCGCTACACACTAAATCAAAATTCATGAATAACGTTAAAAAGGAAAATTCCTTGTTGATATATGAAAAGCTAAAATACATTGTTAAAGAGATATCTACAAATTACCTGAGCAGCACCAGCTGTATCATCAACATTTTCTCTGGCAACTCCTAACTTACTCAGGAAAACATCACTTGTATCAAGTAACTGCAATAAAAAAAGTTTTCAACTTTTAAGACTGCAACGCTCATCAAATTATCTATCGAGCCTTGAAAAAGATTCAACAAAAGACAGAAAAAAATCCACTATCTGTTTTATGTCAAGCAGTGCATGGAGTAACTTCTGATATAGCAGTAAAAGCAAGACGAGTAGGCGGATCGACTCATGAAGTTCCCATTGAAATAGGATCCGCACCGATTTTCCATTTCTTTTGGATGACTACTCGCCCCTTAACTCCTACCCTGTGGCAACATCTCTTTAATCCGTGAAAGGGCTACCATTCAAGGGGAGACGGATTACTTCCTCTCTCTCTTAAATCTCCGCCCTAGGTAAGATCCCCGCCCTACGGGGCACTTTCTATGAGATAGGAATAATTCCTTTATCCATCCCCTCAACAGTCTAAAATATTTAAAACTCCTATTGAAGGAACAATCAAGATCTAATAACACCATATTTTTTAATATTTAGAAACATGTGAAAAAACTAAAGCAAACAACTTCCATGATCATGCAAAATGTGATCAGGTGAATGGGCTATAGGCACAACAAGGCATTCCTTATTATGTAATGCTGAACATACTTATTTTTATTCTTTTTTCTGGCCAATATATACCTACAGTCTAGACCTTCAACTCCTGCAAAATTCTTTTGCTTAAAGCAACAGTGTAAACCAAATCTGAAGTTCAAACATTTTATAACTTTTGGGTTACCCAACTCCAAGTTTAGGGAAGTTATATATTAAATTCACATCCACAGTAATAAAAGAAAAATAGTGTCATCTCCCACTGAGGAACTCATTAAATTACCAAATTAATTAACGTCCTGCTGGAATAAACACTAGAAGCTGATTTTAATATATAGATCTTCTAGGAGAAACGTTAAATTACCCAATTTTATGACAGCTCAGCCATCTGATTCTAAATCATCCTGGGTATGCAAAAACACAAGATAAGTCCCAACCCTCTCTTCCTTGAAGAAACAAGAAAGAACGAAAAAGCGAAAACCTAACCTGTGGATGGCTTAAAACACGTTTTAACTGCTCTGCTCTGATACCTGGCAGAGCCAGCAAGCAGACGTTAGCAAACAACTGAACTTCACCAACAATGTGGAGCCGGTGACGAAGGAGTAAATCATAGTTGCGATGGATGCTTCCACCGAATGAAGTCTCAATTGGAAGAACTGCTTTATCAGCAAGCCACAGTTCAACAGCCTGTCCAGAGAATATAAGTACTTAGAGGCAGTACACAAATACCTAATAAAAGGATACTTTTTTGTTCCTGAAAATTCTTGTGCAGTGGAATTGTGTAATTTCCAAAATTTCAAATAATCAAATAAGTATTAAGTCCACATGTCATGGTGATGATAGTAGAAAAATACAGAATGATTACACTTCAATGCAAAAGACTAATTTCTGCCAAAATCTATGACAGATATCATACTAAACCTTAAATGCATCTTCAAATTCATTACAGGGTACAGTTTCACATTTTGGGTAGGATTTGATAGC